CGCTCTGGAGTATTCGGTAACCGACATAGCTATAAATAGCATTTTCATCGATTAAGCTTTACGGAAATAGCCGAACATTTTTCATTGGGTAAAAAAAGATATTCATCCGCGAAATTTGTGATTGTAACCTCATACTTCTATTGACTAATCTAAACTTTTAATGCACTGTAATTAGTTAAATGCCTACATTAAAAATTATTCTTTCTTTTAAATTGCTGGTTTTTAAGCAGTTTTGAGTGAGAACTAATTTGCGTTGTTAGGTCTGTAAGGAAATTTTGTGTTAGACCATGGATGTTAGCTTTGTATTTACTGATCTTGCGATCAGAAAATACAAAAACTACTGAAGCCAGATTTTTTCAAACAAAGGGAGGCTACTAAGTTAATAAGATTCATCGCAGGAGTTACCATTCCTGTTGCTAGGTAAATAAATAATATTCTCATCTTATTTACAACATGCTAAGGACAGTATAAGCAAAAGCAGTTAGTGGTCTATATACATTAAATTTGATTATGTGTATATGAAATTGGTAAATGAAATAAAATTATATTGATGTATTTGAAAAAACGGGAAGGTCAATTGTGAACAGCTCAATGGTGTAATCAAAACATCTCTTAGATAAATATCAAATTTGTATTTGAACCTCTGTATTTATTTGAAGAGTAAATAATAAATCCAAAGGATTTGAAAATCATCCAAAGACCTCTTTTGTAGTGTGATGTGAAAGAAGTATTCAGCTCTGTTGATTTCTTTAAAGCATAAATTATTTATTTACTAAACATTTTGATGAAAATTTGAATGATTGAATTGATGGAAAATTGATTTAACTTTCCGGTTGATTAAATCTGAATTCCCTTTAGTTATTTAAAAGATGTATTCATGATTAAAGGGAGACTAACCTTAAACAACAATTTTGTGCACCAAATAGTATAATGTTATTTTTTTTTAGTTATAGATATACTGAATATTAAATGCAGTTAAAGATGCAATTCTTAAATTGCATATCTAGTTTGTCTTTCAAAGGCAGTTGTATTAAAGTAAGTGTCGTGGGTAATATTAAGCCTATCTTTTCAAAAGAATAAGACTTTTTAACTGCATGCCAGCATATAGTACATACCGGTATATGCAATTTTTCATGAAAATTTAGAATGTGTTCTCCATGGTTTTAATATTTTAAATAAATATTTGAATCAAGTGTACTAAAGAAGCCTAGACCAGTTCCAATTAATAAGAATACCATGTTTTACCAATGTAGAAAAATTTTGAAGAAAAAAAACAAACTTTGTTATGTTTAAAACACACAAACCATGATGTAGACTTTGAATTTTTTTATTTTTTCTTTTCAAAAATTTTGCTTTTTAAAATGTGTATGTTCATCTTGAGGGGTTCATCTTTAAAGATTTACATGGCTATTGTATGTTTGACTTGCCAAAGCCAGTATTGATAAGCCACTGAAGTAGGTACCCTGCTTTTCTGTGCAGTCTGTAATATGCTGGCAGACTTCTATGATTTTGATATACAGGTCCTTCAAGCTTATGAAGTGTCATGGTCAGCTCTGATATTGATATAAGTTCAAAACAATTAAATTTAGCAGGGAAAAAGGTTTTAGAATTAACAGAAGTGGTAATAATTAAATAGAGGATATTTGTTTGTTTTGCATGTAAGATTGAAATATAATTTCACTGAGTGAACACCAGATGCAATATTTTCACGAGTGGCGTAGCCACGAGTGAAAATATGATAGCTGGTGTTCACGAATGAAATATATTTCAATCTTATATGTAAAACAAATAAATTTTCTTTTTATTTCATGCTTTTTAAGTCATTTTAAGTATTTTTTTTACTGATTTTGCCGCGTAACGTCACGCATTCGCCTTTGTGACGTCATCATATCATGACGTCACATCATCAATTTTGAAATATAGGTCTGTTAAATTTCTCTAATTTTGTTACATTTTTAACATGATGTATGATGACATCGACTTTCTTTTCCTAAAGAAGCAAAATTTACGCATGACGGCATTTATTTCTGCCTGTTATTCCATTTAGTTATGATTTTCTTTTCATCCGCATTCAGATATAGCCCGGCTACAGTGAAAATTATATTTTATAAATTTCACTAGTGGTTTATCAGAATTTAATCATCTGATATATTACAGTAAAACACCGGAAAGCATGAAATAACAGTTTTTTACTATGAGAACGTTCTGAAAAATTCACTCTTTTTAAAGAAAAGGTAGATATAAAAGTAATTTTTGTTTTGCTTATAAAAGGGTTTTATTCAGAAATCAGATTTTGTTAGAATATATTTTATGAAATGAAATAAAGAAGATTACAGGTTCCAAGATACTCATGACATTTGTAAAATATACAGGTTATAAGTTGAGTTGTGTTCTATTTATTAAGATGTTTGCCTCTCAAACAAGTGGGATCATAATGGTTCAAGCTGTAGTCTCAATATTTCAACTGCAAGACCGACTGATCAGTCAATTTTAGGGTGACCATCATTTATATAGTAAAAAGTCCTTGTCCACAATTTGTTGGGCTATTCAAGCTCCCCAGAAGTTATGATGGTTTTCTCATGTGGTCCTACCACTATTGGAAAACTTGAGGAATATGTTGACGCCATGTTGCTTATACATGTAATGTACATTAGGTCACAGTGTTTCATGTGCCCATTTTGTGCTAAATTAAAATCTAGAGACGTTAAGTTGGGGGAACAGACTTCAGTTGTTCAAATTTTCTAAAGGTTTCATCAAAATCAAGCTAAAATGAATATTTTCAAACTAAACTATACAGGTTACAAAGTACTAAATACTTTCTTGCCATTTTCACCTATATAGCAATTATATTATCTCAGCCCAAATTAGGTTCACCAAGGATTAACTTTTTTATTGATATTATACGTTGTTTATGGATGACATGATTACCCTAGTAAAAGGTGTGAACCATCAAAATCAAAACTAAGTTAAAACCAAGGCCAAGAAAACAAAAGTTTTTTTGTGATGATACCAGTATATAAAAATAAAAATAAAAAACTAATCTCTACACGACAAATGAGCCGCGCCATGACAAAACCAACATAATGGGTTTGCGACCAGCATGGATCCAGACCAGCCTTTGCATCCATGCAGTCTGATCAGGATCCATGCTGTTCGCTTACAAACCCTATAACAAGTAGAGAAACTGATAACGAACAGCATGGATCCTGATCAGACTGGGCTGATGCGCAGGCTGGTCTGGATCCATGCTTGTCGCAAACGCATTATGTTGGTTTTGTCATTGTGCAGCTCAAATGTTACAAGGCAAAATTATGTACATGTATGACTTTAAAGGGCATAAGATTAAAGGAACTCCACTGAGGTCCAAAAGCTGAAAAAGTTTAAATTTGAATTCCTTACATAGATTATTACTGACCACTTAAAACAGACAAATATGCAAAGGATAGTTAAGAAAATATACTCAGAAATATAAAAAAATCATATTATTGTGCCAGCCTGATTTGAAAAGCTTGGCAATACTTTTAAATTTTGGGTTATTTTTCACATTTAGAATAAACATGCTGAAAAAACAGAGTGAGCGAATGGTCTGAAATTTTGCACTCAAATTATTTGTCTAAAACCTTCATCAAATGGAACTTTAATTTAAAAAAAAATAATTTTCAGTCCCATTCAGTGAAGTCCCTTTAAAGATCATAGGTTGAAATCTTGATAAAGTTATAATAACTTTGAAAATGAGAAACCAACAATTTTCTGGCTTGCCTAGTTTGAAAATTTGCATGTATATTCAAATCTAAAAGGTTAACATACTCATGGCTGCGATTAAATGGAACCACAGGGAGATTTGTGATTAAAATTTCTAAGCATGTGAAATGGAAATGGTAAGTTCAATTAACAGTATGCACAAAAGGACAAAGTGAGAAAAAAATCAATTGATAAACATTAATTTAAACTTTTCAATAAGGAAAGAGAGTATAGTTTTTGTCTATTGAAAGATAACTTATTTAGGGAAGAGAAGACAGTGTTCTATTACATGTTAGATATATTTAAACCTTAACCTTTTAAAATATTTATAATAGAATAATTCTGTTATGAATCAAGAACAGTCCATAAGTTATTGAAGGTGTTTCATTATAAAGATATAATCAAGCAAGCTATAATAGAGCCTGGTTAGGCAGCACAGAAGCACTAAGGCTGGACGGGCGTTCAACTTTGATATTTGTCACATATAATTTTATATATATAAAAGATTATAATGAACTTTTGAATCAGTAGGTTGAAAAAAAAGCCCTCCTCAATAGATTTAAGCTTACTTGGTTAAATTTTGAGTTTGAGAATTCTTTCTTAGAGAAATCATTGTAAATATGGCCAATATGTTGTCCTGTTTTAAATTCATTATGCTAAAGTGTCAGCAATAAGATTAAGAACACTGACTGTCTTAATTATTATATTTAACCTGATTTTAAGAAATGAAATCAGTATGTGATTAGTAAATATAAGGTTGCGACTTCAAAAGACTTGTTCAAAACACTTGTTCTAATGCCAGGAACTTTAAAATTATGCATGTGAGGAATGAAAATCTGTAAATCTACTTGTGAAACTATGTACAGAAGAGGTGTCCAAGGTCTGCGTCTTTTACATGTAAAGCTGGAATGTCATATCATATAAACAGATTGATTGAGAATGTATTACTTGACCCCATAATCCAACCACCTCCACCGCCCCGCAACAACCAAAACGTTTAATGATTATTGTTTTTTATGATCAATTAATTTATAAAAGCATTTTTAATTATATTAAACTTCATTATCTGACATATTATATTATTATATTTACAGTTTAAATGGTGTTAAAGGCAGATTTATGTCAAGATAACTTTTTGCAAATTTGCCTAATTCATCAACTGTTTGTCTTTTTGAAATATTTGTCTGGTTGAAGCATAATTGTTAAAAAAGGATCACATAAAAATTCGCTTGAATTCAAGAATGCCATGATGTTCATTTAAATCATAAAAATCTGCGTAAGATGTATGAAAAGGCCTCTCCTTTACAATAAAAAGTGTTTAAATAAGCCAAAGTATGAATCAGGGCTTGATTCAAACATTATTGATTTGTCCATTTATGATCGTATATAGATTCATAATGGTTTTCAAGCGATGTTTTTAAATTAAATACAAAACGGTGGCGTTAAAAGTGTTGTGTATTATTTCCTAAATTAAGATAATTATTACGCATGTTTTGTTAAGTGAACAATAGCCTTGTGGGAGATCTTCAATTAAGTTAATGCAAGATGCTTACAATTTTTATTTTTTACTCCAGTTAATGTGTAGAATACAGATATAAAAAGGAGAAAGGGAGTTTTTTGATGAAAAAATATTTATTGTGAATATTGAAATATATTTTTCTATTGTAATAAGTTAGTAGCCAGAAGGCATAGATTATTAGTGAAATAGTAAATGTAGATCTATTCACTAAGCTGATGGGAGTGGAATAAAAACATCAGATGTGCTTTAAGAAATCAATTTCCAATGTTTTGTATGGATTAAGTGTTGCTACTTAAAGCATTTATAAAGTGGTGTCATAAAAAGTGTTATGTCTAAATTTGAACAAAGACGCCAACAGGTTTTGACACCAGCGTTAGAAGGTAGTAAACCTATTCGGCCCAGCAATTCTCTCGTTCCTTACGGATATAGACCATTTTCACAAGGAGACAGAGGGCCTGATCGTCCTTTTACTCAAGAAGGGCGGGAGCCTCGTGGATTCCGTGGCCGTCCGTTCACACCTGGTGGGAGAAACATTATGGGATCGTATCCAAGAGGATTTCATCCTGGAGTATTTAATGGATATCCGTATATGAATGTAATGCCAGCTGAGCGAGTTTCCGTGCCAACGTTACTACAACGACCAAGAATGCCATATTTGGGACCTCCTTCTCTTATGCCACAGTGGGGTGGTTATTCCATTGGTCCACAGTATTTTCCAGGTTTTTTTATATCTTTTCTTAGCGTTAATTTTAATCTAATTTGATTATTTTGTGATAGGCTTGTTTGGATTTCTAATTTGTATAACATATTAAAATTTATTTAAAATTTCTGTAACTGAACAAGTTTTAAAATTTTAATTTATATTTGTTGATAGTTTATTGTCCATTTAATGGTTTATCTGTATTTTATTTGTAGAATACAATTGATTAGAATGGTTTTGTCATATTGCACATATTTTAATATATTTTAGATGCGTGCAATGTGAAATTATATAATCTATAATGTTACTATTTCTCGTTTATCTACATTTTATACAATTGGTTAGAATTGTTTTGTCATACAAGTGTGTATTTCACATATTATTTTAATATATTTTAAATAGTACTACAATGTGTAATTGTGTAATCTATAATGTCATATAACAGATACTAGAATTAGAATTCACCTTGACCTTTCTGATAAAGGTGAAGTTCTAAGATATACACCTTTAAAATTGACTGAGATAATTTGAAATAGAGTAGATGGCCACAAAAGATAACTGCTTACCTGAGCACTATGACTGAGCTTTCAAAGCATTTTAATATTTACTATTTAGACGTATTTCACCTTTATCAAATGTCTTGGTGGATATGACTATATACATGTAGTGTAGAATATTATTTAGAGACAAGTACCTTTCTAATAAATAGTTTGCTTCTATATTGGGATGAATTTTAATAAAAATCACTAATATACAACATTGCTTCAGTTCTACTGTTTAATGATGTTGCCCATGAATAAGTTATAACTATTCATCAGAAAGGTCACTTTGGAATATTAACTTTGGGACAAATTGAATAACACAGTTAATTCCACTTATAAAGATATTCAGTGGACCTCCGTATTTATATTATTATATCCGGATATTGTTATATCCGAGAGGCAAGCAACTTAAAAACAAGAGTTTGCATCATGGCAACAGCATTGTTATTTGCTGTATTTTGTTATAAGGGGTATATAACTATAAGCAATATTGTTATAAGTTGAGTTTACTGTTCTATCAAACAATCTTTCAAAGACAGCTGTGAAAATTATTTACTTATATTACTATTAAATACATGCTGGTTGGGGAGATAACTCTGACACTAAATCACATATTTTTTGCAATATCTTAATTATCCTGCATATTTTAAATGTTGTACCACCTAAACAAAGTTCAGTTCAAAGACTTTGCATTACACTGCAAGAATTACATATGAAAATTGAAACTGGTACTTCTTTAAGGTCTTGAATGTGGTATACAAAACATGGTCTTTTAACCCCACAACAGTAGATAAAGTTGACACTTAATTTTTTATGTAAAAAATGACAGGAAAATCAGCATCAATAATATATTTTTACATCTTATATGTTTTATCTATTTTTTGTTGATATAAAAACAATATTTCAAAAAATCTTTCCCAAGTCAGTGGCCTGTGGTCAATACAATTCTAAATACCTTAAAAAAGAACGTTTTGAAGCAGTTTTTTCCAACGAAAAGTTTAGGTTATTTGAAAATTATTAAAAAGTTTACCAACTATCAAAAAATTATCCCATTTTGTCCTGCTCCAATACTTCAAGGTGACTATATGCTTATTTGTTGAAAAACAAAGTTAAAACAAAAATATTTATAAAGTGTCGGAGTTATCTATGTGTCGGAGTTATCTCTATGACCAGTAGTGAAAATAAAGTGCAAACTCAAAATTCTTTATGTTGTAGGTGTTGTTATTGTTGATATTAGATATTGTTGACATTGTTATTTTTTAGTTAATCTATTTTTACTAATACAATTAACAGTTGGAAGAAAGAATGAATGAATGAATGAATGAATGAATAAATGAATGAATGAATGAATGAAGGAAGGAAGGAAGGAAGGAATAAATGAATGAATGAATGAAGGAATGAATGATGGAAGGAAGGAAGGATTGAATGAATGAATGAATGAAGAATGAACTAATGAAAATATCACAGTTTAACTTGTATAATGTACATGTATTTGAATATGACGTCATTAGGCGGCAAACATCACAAATGTTTGTTGCAACATTTTTTTTATACATTCCCATGCATTTTTGTACAAAGTATAGCATAAAAAAATAAATTAAAACAAAAATATATATAATATTTACACATAATGGTACATTTTTTTTGGAGATCACCTTAGTAACTTATATTGTATCTTAAAAAAATGTGAAAGTTTGTGAAAGTGACAATGTGCAAATAAAATTGAGTCTACTGGGTTGTCCACAAAGTTTATGGATGGAGTTGTCTCCACAAATTTTATACATATTCCATTTGCAAAGTATGCAAGCAATGTACATGATAATGGGGCATCCTTGGCTAAGTGGTAAACTGCCTTTTATGCTGCCAGGGACTTTTGATACTTTCCAGTTAAGAAGCTGTCTTATTATAATCTAGCTTACGGGACGGGACATCTGCAGTTCCACTCACTGCTTTTCTTGAAATAATGTACAGAGTGGTACCTGAAGTCTTCCTCTACCTGTAAAGTTTGAAAGTGTTCATATGACCTTAACAGTGACTCAACTAAATAATATCCAAACCAATTGATCAAGTACATGTTATTATCAGTTGAATGCATGCAAAAGCTTAATATAAAACCTCAAAGTTGCAACATCATTCATATGAAACATATGAAAAATTACTTAAATGTCATGAAGTTGGTGTATCTTCCATATAGATAATGTAAGTGCTCAGTAAATTTATGTTTACATTCGACTTATCTGAAATGAAAATGATTAACCTTTAATTGTCACCAGTATAGAGGCACTGGGCAGACTGTGCATCTGTGCAGACTGACCATTTAATATATTTTGGAAGCTGAGGAAGCATATATATTCAGTAGCTGGTTAAACCGCAGTCTGCATGTGGTGTAATGGTGCAATCTGCCTGTTTATCTTACAAACTTTATAAGACCATTTTACTGCAAACGCAAATGTTCTGAATTTTCAACATTAACCCACAGTTTCAATTTAAAATTTCAGTATTTATATTAAGCATTCTTTTATTCAATTTATAGATGATATTACATGATGACAATACAAAGTTAAAAGTAAACATAGAAATTTCAACACAAGCCATATTCTTTTGTACTGAAAAATTTGCATAAATGTATGATTAAATTTTCTTATTCAGTGATATAATTAACTTTTTTTTATTATATTTAATTTGACAATAATTGAGGAAAAGTCAAAGAACATTGATATATATGTAGCATTGACAAAATTAAACATTGATATATATTTTTATGATCCCGTGGCATTTGTTTTTTCATTGATAAAAATAATAGATATATTTAAGTTCTGCAAGCCAATTATTTTAAAGTTTGTTATGTATTAATTATCATGATATCTGTATATTAGATGGAAAGTCACCAAAGGAGTCAGAATCAGGTATGGTAAATATATTTTACTATTCAATGTGGGTCATTTGTATCCTATTGCAACCAGAATATTTTCATTATCTTTCCCAATTTTCAAAGATGATTTTCACCCTCTTAAAAAATAGTATAATCATGTAATATTTTGTTTGGCAAGGGTTTGATAAAAAATGAATAAATGTAGATGTTTGAATGTTTAAAGCATCAAACTATCATTTAAAAAAATGGCTAGAAAAACTAAATTTTTACTTGGAAATAATATTTAAGCAAAGGATAAGTGACTCACACGATTTTCAAAGCAGTTTGTGTTGGTAATGGAGTCACTTAAATTGTGATTTATGGTAATTTTGCAATGATACACAGATTTTGTTTACATGTACATTGAATTTGTATGAACTCAAGTAAGTTTTGAAAGTTTGCTTTACATAATCCAGTTCTGATTTTTGATTTTCTTTAAAAAAAGAATGAATTATTTGTGGCTGCCAAATTATCACGAATTATGTTAAGCGCTGACTCAGCTTTTTGCAGGATATGGTGATGGTGACAGTAGTTGCTAGGTAACAAGTTCAGTGCATGTCCTTGACATTTGAATTTTTGATAATTTGTGTTGATATGTTTAATTTTGTTAGAAAACTAGATACCATTTACTTTGGGTAAGTAGAATACTTGTATAAAATAATACTATTATAGAATTAACTATTAAGTTTTGGTAGATTAACAAAATTTTATATTGCTATAAATTTGTAGCACTTTTAATTGTTTGAAAATTGTTCTTTTGTTTATTTGGTAACACACATAAGAGCTAAATATAACTAAATTTGAACCCTGAAGTGAAATATTCAAAAATTCCAAAACTTAAGTCTTTCCTGAAATTTTTCTTTTTGATAACCTTTTAATTATTTAAAACGGAAGACTGATATAATGAACAAATTAAAAGTGCTTGATTTATAGCAGTGGTAGCAGTCAGTAAATAAAAGACAAGTTATTATCATTGCAGAAAAACTTCAAATTTTTATTTTAAAATTAACAAAGATAATTTTGCAGAAAGGAAAGTAATACCCGTACCTGTGAGAATGCCGAAATACATCCCTCCGCCACAACCGCCAATTTACAATCCGCAGCCTCCGCCACATCCTCGTAAGATACTGTTGTCATAGCGATAAACGTTTTAGCATGTAGCCGTTCTAGATATATTCAAGAAGCAAAATATTTTCCATGAAAAAAACAAAACAAAAAAAACAAAACAATTCTTCCAAAACATTAAACATATATATATTGAATTATTTTTTTCCCTTCCCTCATTTAAGAATTTAAATGTATTTTTTTTTGTTGATAATTTTGAGAAAACTTTTAATAAAGGAATTATATTTTGCTTCCTTAAAAATAGATGCTAAAGAAGTGAAGCTTTTATATGGCTAAAACTTATTGTTTGGTTATTTGTTTTTTTATCTTTTTCAAAGCCACCATACCTATACCAATTATTGTCAGGAAAAAAATACCCCAGCCTATCCAGATTAAACGAGTGCCAATTATTTTGCGTAAGTGTTTAGACGCTTTGCCGTTACATAAAGACACACCAAAATATCTACTTTCAGTTTCAAAAATAATATTTAACTTAATAAATTTTAACATACTTCTTTCAATTATGTTGTGTAAGATTTTTAAAAAAAATATTTATCATTTTCAAGTCTACAAGGAAATAACTTTGATACACCTGAATTAGATGCGAAAAACCAAACTTTGCCATGCCATGACATACAAAATACATGAATTGAACACTGATCATTGTATACATATGCTTATTTATGTGCCACAGTAACTTTTATAGACAGCGTATTGGCACATAGAGCACTCGTATGTATGCAGTAATAAAAGCTGAATAAAAGCCCCACCAGTAATTCTGAGGGACCAAAAATATCTATATATATATATCAACTATTGAATGACTATTTTTTTCGGCTGCAACAGTCAGCGCTTTAAATACAATAACTAAATACCCTGTTGCAAAATACTGCTAACACCAGTATTGAAGGAAGCAGACTAAGCAAATCCATGTATAATGATGAATAAAGGAGTATTAAGTGTGTATGCTACACATTTCTATTCATATCTTTTTTATAACCTTTTTATTACCTGTCACAAATATTCCCACAATGTGAACTGTAAAATAAAGAATGTAACATTGAACTTAACATCGAAATGGCTTGGTTTATAGCAAAGGTCATTTGCTTTGTAACAAATAAGTGCACGCCTACCTAGATTACCTGAAATACAATCTACAATCCGTTATCTGTGTCATGCAGGGAATTGATTCTTAGGCTAAGTGGTCTAAAGCATTTGATTTAATTTGTTTGTAAGCCAGTTGTTTTTGTTTGAATCCCACGCTGATGGGATTTTTTCTGATGCATATGCATCTTTCTATTACAAAATTTGAAATGTTTGTATTTTTCCACCTAAAAACCATGTCAAGTGTTCAGAACTGATTATAGAAGATGACTGAGGAGCATAATTATTCTCTATACCCGGAAGTCAGGTTAATGTTTATACAGAGTTATGGCCCTTTTATGTTAATTCAAGATTTTCATTGATAATGATGATTATTTTTTCTCATTGACCTTGCATTCAATTCTACTTTTTAATGTCTGAAGATACTTCAATTTATTATTAAGATATTATAAGTTTTGGTGTGTCTTTTTTAATGCTTTCTTTATGCTCAACAGTTGTCAAAATCTATCAGTGTAAAATCACTTAGCCTTTGTAAGTCACAGTAGGTATGTAGAAGAATGGTATTTTTCATACAGTCAAATGAAAGGAATTTGTAATCATGTCAAAACATGACTTGCTTTTTATTATTTGCTTAAATAATCTGCGAATATATTATGTCCATCTATTAGTCCATGATCACTTTGCTGCAATCATTTCCACACATCATCTTTACAAATATTATATAATAAATTATATCGATCAATGGAAGAATCAGAAATATTGCCACCGCCTAAACAAAGCTGAACACTTACCTAAATTGGTAAAGTCTGTTATCAATTGTTATTTTGTGCAGAGTTGTGGCCCCTAGAACTTGTGCTTCATAAGTGTGAGTCAAAATCTTAAAATCATTGAAAGGTTTTTATATGAAACTGATCATTTATAGCTACCAGGTAATTGTAATGGCTAGAACTCCTTAGTGAAATAAAATGAACATTTGACTGTTAATTGCAATATGACAGTAACTGAAACTACAGTTGAACTTTGATGAGTTATTCTTGAATCATGTATTGACTATATTAACTATTAATTTATTATCATTCACTTTGTTGTGTTGACTTTTGTGATGTTTCACCTATCTATTTATTATTCAGAGCAATTATTCAATTATTTGAATTTTTTTTTTTATTTCATTATAATTTCAATACTGGTTGTGTCCCTTTATGATAAAGCATTAAATTTTAGAAATATTTAAATGATAATGTTGCACTTATTTGAAATGAAAATAATCTTTTTTGTAATGGCTACTTCAATATAGACCATGCTTAAATGTATCAGTTTAGACCAAAATTATTAACCTGCCTAATTTGCATACATAATATCTGATAGTTGAACTTGCTATTTTGAGACTGGGATATTCCTCCTGTTTACTTTCACTTGTAAGTGTATGTAAGAAAATCACATGTGTCACTCAGTAAGAATGTTTAACATAGCAAAGCCTCTTACTGTGGGTTCAAATTGTTCTTTTATCCTACGTTTTTGTATATTTTTTGTCTGTTAATCATTTTAAACATTCTTAATGTACATAATGTTTTCCTTTAATTATTTTACCTTAATCTTTTTTATTCCATTTTATCACCTTACATAATGTATGCAAAAAGGGCTGGTTTGAATAAAACACGGTTATATATGCCATATTTCTGTGATGTAGTTGCTACCATTATTTAATTTGTCAATATATATAGAGAATAACATGCTTCTGTCATTTGATATCAATTTTATCAGGTGAGGCTGATATGGGCTAAAAGGGGCAAGGATTGCTCATTTCATGATGTTTTTTATACCCCCAAAAACGAAGTTTGGGGGGGTATATAGGAGTCACCCGGTGGTTGGTCGGGCGGTAGGTCGGTCGGTCGGTCCAGATGTCTATTGCATTTTCCTTGTCCGGAGCATAACTTGAAGACTAATGGTTGGAATTCAATATAATTACATACAATGGTCAAGCACATTGAGAGGAAGTGCAGTGCACAAGAACCATAACTCTATCTTGACTAATTACAGAGTTATTGCCCTTTGTTACTTTTCCTTGTCCGGGGCATAACTTGAAAACTACTGGTTGGAATTCAAAACAACTTTCTACAATTGTCAAACACAATAAGGGGTAGTGCAGTGCACAAAAACCATAACTCTATCTAAAGTAATTACAGAGTTATTGTCCTTTGTTGCTTTTCCATTGCTTTTTTTTTGTCTGGACCATAACTTGAAGACTGATAGTTGGAATTCAATATAACTACATACAATGGTCAAGCACATTGAGAGGAAGTGCAGTGTATAAGAACCATAACTCCATCTTGACTAATTACAGAGTTATTGCCCTTTGTTACTTTTCCTTTTCCGGGGCATAACTTGAAAACAACTGTTTGGAATTCAAAACAACTTCATACAATTGTCAAACACAATAAGGGGAAGTGCAGTGCACAAGAACCATAACTCTATCTAAAGTAATTACAGAGTTATTGCCCTTTGTTACTTTTCCATTGATTTTTTTGTCCGGACCATAACTTGTAGACTAATGGTTGGAATTCAATATAACTACATAAAATGGTCAAGCACATTGAGAGGAAGTGCAGTGCATAAGAATCATAACTCTATCTTGACTAATTACAGAGTTATTGCCCTTTGTTACTTTTCCTTGTCCGGGGCATAACTTGAAAACTACTGGTTGGAATTCAAAACAACTTTCTACAATTGTCAAACACAATAAGGGGAAGTGCAGTGCACAAGAACCATAACTCTATCTAAAGTAATTACAGAGTTATTGCCCTTTGTTGCTTTTCCATTGCTTTTTTTTGTCTGGACCATAACTTGAAGACTAATGGTTGGAATTCAATATAACTACATACAATGGTCAAGCACATTGAGAGGAAGTGCAGTGCATAAGAACCATAACTCCATCTTGACTAATTACAGAGTTATTGCCCTTTGTTACTTTTCCTTGTCCGGGGCATAACTTGAAAACAACTGTTTGGAATTCAAAACAACTTCATACAATTGTCAAACACAATAAGGGGAAGTGCAGTGCACAAGAACCATAACTCTATCTAAAGTAATTACAGAGTTATTGCCCTTTGTTACTTTTCCATTGATTTTTTTGTCCGGACCATAACTTGAAGACTAATGGTTGGAATTCAATATAACTACATACAATGGTCAAGCACATTGAGAGGAAGTGCAGTGCATAAGAATCATAACTCTATCTTGACTAATTACAGAGTTATTGCCCTTTGTTACTTTTCCTTGTCCGGGGCATAACTTGAAAACTACTGTTTGGAATTCAATACAACTTCATACAGTTGTCAAGGGCATTAAAAGGAAGTGCTGTGCACAAGAGCCATAACTCCATTTTGACAAAATACAGAGTTACTGCCCTTTGATACTTTTCCTTGTCAGGAGCATAACTTAAAACGTACTGGTTGGAATTCAAAACAACTTCATACAATGGTCAAGCACAATAAGAGGAAGTGCAGTGCACAAGAACTATAACTCTATCTTCAGTATTTATAGAGTTATTGCCCTTTGTTCCTCTTCTTTGTCTTTCTGGACTTATTACAGAGTAATTCAATTAAACTTCATCAATGGCCAACCACATTGAAAGGAAATGCAACATACAAGAACCACAACTATCTTTAATTGCCCACAACCATAACTCTATATTTCAATTCTTTTACAAGGTATTCTGTTACTAGTAACATCCTCATTTCCGAAGCAGTCTTGTGGGGGTATTAATCACATTTAGTGATAGTTCTAGTTTTTATACATATATGATATGTAAAATAATGACTTCATTTTTATTTCATTTACTTTTAAATATTTGTCATGTTTAAGAGCATGTTTCTGATGTAATTTATTTTTTTAACTTTTAAACAATCAAGCTTTGATACATATTTAACTTTCTTAAACCACTGAAAAATAGAGAATGCCATGTATAATTATTTTATGGTAACAGCCTTTTTTGGTATTAATCTGGAAAAATATCAATATTATCTGATTTAATGATTATTTTTGTCCTTTATTTTGTACAGCAAAGAAAACGGTAAGGAAAAAATCCAGTAGAACTTTCCCAGGGTCTGGTAAGTTTATTTTTGTTTATCAATACATATTTGTTTATGACTTATAACAATAATACCGGTAACTGACCTTATAATGACACAATTAAAGAACCACGCCAGACTTTATATTGTTTGCTTAACACAGTTTTAGTTCCTCTTAGTGAAATTTCTTAGACTTTTAACAGAATGTACACAATTCAAAGTAATACTAATTCAGGAAAAAGTAAGGGATAATGTCATGGATAGATATTCTAATATCCGAGTTTAGGTTTAAACATAGTTATTTCAAGCTTGAATTTAAAGACAATTTTACCTTATTTAAAAGTTAACAGTGTTAATGTGGTTCAAATGCAACTATTATAATCATACTTTCAATGAAGAGCATTTCTGTTAAATGAAATGCTAGTAATTTGTGGGATTCTGCAGTTGCCTGTTTGTGTCTGAAAAATGCATAAATTGGGGACCCAAAGTCTTCCTCCACCAGTAAAGCTGGAAACTTCCAAAAGTCACAAATTAACCTCTAGCTACTATGTTTGTGTTTTTGTATAACAAAAAAAACAAAAATTAAACATAAAAAACAAAGAATCATCTATGTGTCAATGGTAGCAATAATGCATGTTTCATACATAAAATACATGTGATTTTTTCAGAAAGGACATATTTAAAAATAAACTATAATATCTTCAGTCCACCTATCTAAATGATGTGTTATTTATATATAGACACGTCTTGGGGTTTTAAAGCTTTTCAAAAGATATAAAAGTAGCAAAAAAAAAAGAAAAAAAAAGAAGATTATTCAAAAGATAAATTAATATGGTTTTTGATGTGAAATATAAGTGTTGTGAAATTATCATAGCATATTGTGTACCTAAACAAATTGACTTTTTAATTCCCTTCATTTTTGTTTTTGTCAAAAGTTTATAGATATCCCTTTTATTCCCTTTTTAGAATTTGTGTTTAAAAGGAAAACTTATACTTCAATTTTCCTTTTTATGGGGGTTTAAAATTTATTATTTTTCCCTCTGCATAATAGATGAAAATATGTTTTTAAAATAAATTTTTTTTTCCTCATTCATAAAACTGCCCTTTTTTTTTGAAACTTAAGTTTTAAAAAGGGAAAAGAAACACAAGGACATTTAATACCCGTAAAAAATTTTAATTTAAGTTTGAGGTTGTTTGAGGTGATCTTAAAGTCTTCTTTTAATGTCATTTCCTGAAATGTTTGATTTTTGTTTGAAGGATTTTAAAATTTTTAAAATAGGGTTTTTTTTAAAAAAGCCCTTGAAAAAGGGGCAAAAAACATTTCTTTTTTGAATATAGATATTGTTTGGGGAGCACAATATAGTCACCACTTTGTCCTGTGTATTTTATAATGTCCTATTGTGCTTTCCTACTGCTTCTCTTATTAACTTATTTTATTGACCGATATCTTTCATATTTTAGAGACATATAATATATTACTTTGGATAGTCCTCTGAATTTGGGATAGAGTTTGGGGTCACTTTGTTTAATCACTGATGCTTAAAAAAGTTAAAAATACATGTATGTTGACACTTACAGCCTTAGTTCATTGAGAGACATCTTCCAAAGGCTCATGGTCTTGTTAGTCTTTTAGAAAAAGTAAGGGGTCACCAGGGTCAAGGTCACTTTTGCTAAAAATAGACTTTTACATTTAAACTCATACAGTCTATTTTATTGTTTAATGTCTTTTCATATTTGGTATGAACATACCTTCCTTTGCCCTCTAACTCTGTCAAGGTCACCAATGCTAAAAAAAGATTTTTACAGTTTTGTTCATTTAAGGTATTTGATATTGGGTAGGTACTTAACTTTGGTTGAGTTAAGACTCACTTTGGTCAAGGACTCCAGTGGCCTACATGTATATTAAAAGCAAAACACTAGTGATGTACTCAATGATAATAGTGTCAAAAGAGCCTGTTAAAATCACAATGTTTACAATTTAATGAGAGTCTTTAGAGAAAAGCTTTACTGTTATTTTAACAATTCTTTGTGTTGTTATATATACATGTATGAAATTGGTCACAGCATTCTTAGAAAGTTATTTTTAATTATAATATTTCATTTTTATTTCAGAACCCCTGGGAAGGTTCCGTTATACAGCTCTTGCTGTTGTTTTTATTGCACGCCTTAGAGCTAATGTAAAGCAGGTAGAGGGCATACTAACAAATTAACACCGTTTAAATCACACATTGCTTTAAATGTTGTTTTATTTCTCCTTCTAATCACTAAAACAGAGAAAGAGAGCTTTATCATTTCTGCTTTGTTGTGAGTTAACTGATTTGCTTCTGAGTTAGTTCATGTAATTCTCTGTTCCTCAAGTGGGGCTATCCTACTGACCTGGCTTCAGGGTTGGCATCGATTCTATTTGTTACGGTTCTATGTGCATCTTAAACACTAGGAACTTCACATATATACATTTGTATTCAGGACCATAATTGTAGATCCTGGTCAAAGCCCGATTACTCTACCAGGGATTCAATTTTAAATGAATTACACCCTTTCACAATATGTGAACTTTGAAAATTTTTGGTTATGGGTTTTTTACAAATCCTGCCGTCACAACCAAACTATACACTTGTCTCTATGGCAAAATCGGAAGTCACTTACTAGACCCAAGCATTTATCTAAAGAAAGTAAATTTTTATGGCTGAATGTTTTCATTTTGATTTACCATTTTTAGTATGTTTTAAAGGAACATCACTGAGGTGCAAAAGCCTAAAAACATAAAATTTGAATTTCTTACATAGATCAACTGCCTGGGCACTATAACAGAAAGATATACAAATGATAATTAAGACATATACTAAGAAATAAATTTTTTTTTTTTGTGCTATTCTTAGCCCAATTTCAGTGAAAAGCTTTGCAACGCCTTTCAATTTTGGGTCATTTTTCAAAATGAGAATAATTATTCTGGAAAGACTTAGCGAGTGAAAGATCTGAAGTTACGCACACAAGTTATTGATTTTGACCTTCATCAAATGGAATATTAATTTCGAAAAAAAAATTCCAGACAAGTCATGTTAAAAAACTTCAGTTGAGTCCCTTTAAGTAGAGCTAGTCTTTTTAAAAGGACTCCACTGAGTGTGCACAGTTTTTATGCAAGAACATTTGCTAATATTGATTACATGTATAACATTGATAGGGTGTCTCCGGTAGGAACTTATTTTTTGATTTTGTTCAAGCACACTATAATGCTTAATAATACATACTATACTAATATTTGCACAATTATAGTGTAGACTTTTGTTTACAAAAACAGACTCTTTTAGAATATAACCAACTAATATGGTTTACAAATGCTGAAAATCAATTTACATGTATATGACTTTTACAGTGACAGTGTAACTATAAATTTTATCAAAAGAAAAATCACATATAATATAAAGAGACTTCTACAATTGATTTGCTTAGAAATAACAACTGCACATGAAATTCCTTAACATAGATAAATTTTTATTCAAAATTTTTTTAAGATTCAAAAAGATAAGAGCCAAGATCAAATTTATAATTAAGGACAATCTAAAATAACTTTGTTTTTTATGAACATAATAAAGACAGATTTATTTGTCTTTTACAAAACACATCTTGCACATGTTTAATAATCATTTTATTTTTGTGTAGCTATATTTAGTGATGTAATGACAATTTTGTCAAATGTAAATTTAGATATAGATTAATTCGCAACTAAAGAGTGACAGTTAGTTTACACTAATTTATTTTAGTTTGATAGAATTATAAGCTTTAAGCTTATTGAAACACTCTCGAATCTGTTCTGTGAACCAACCAGTACTAAGCAATAAGTGTTAAGTATCGTGCTCACAGAAACAACAACTTGTCCCCGACTGGGTTTGAACCTAGGCGGCCAGCAATCTCTAAATTACTAGTCCAATGCGTTAACAACTCAGCCACACCACCTGGATGGCTAACGACAGTTGCTTTGTGTTTTCTTGCTCGCTTAGAATTAAATGTAGAATACAAATATACTTTATAAAGTGCATCAGATTTTTTTGTATGATGTTTTTTATGCTACATGTATTCCTAACCATATAACTTTATTTACATACAAGATAATTACAATTTTTAACTTCATTTTTAAATAAATTTTTACTTAAGGCTTTTCAGATCTTTGTGTTTGTATATTTACTTAATGTATAAAAATAGCTTAAATGTTTATTATAATAAGTACCATAATAGACATACTTATAATAACTTATATAAAAGCCACTTGGGAAAGAAATCTTTTATGATGTTATATCAAAAGATTTTCAGTACGGATTGATGAATAAAAGCAATCATTTGATGTACGTTTGTATGCTAATTATAGAATTTTTTGCAACCATTAAAAATAGGTCATGACCGTCTGAATTCTTTAAATTACATCAAACATTAACCATTTAACATACTGTACCAGATAAATTTGTGAAAAATGTTTTGTTTTTTAATAGACAGCATGGTGCCTATACCATGTGACATTTTATGATCTGCGCATCAAAAGTGTAGAACCCTCTCATTTCTAGTACATTTCACTTATATAGACTGTTTTCTAGGATAAAAATCAGTATTTTTTAAATCGCATGTCTGAACAAATCAGATATTCGAGCAGTTTCATTTTACGAAGAAAAAAAAATTCCACAGAACATACTATGTACTATGAGTTCCTCATTACAATGAATCATGGGCTCTACATTTGATCCCATAAAAGTAAGTGAAATATCAAAAAACCTTATGGCTGGAAGAAAATAAATCCTGAACCATCTTTTGTATTTGTTTTCTTCCCCATGCAAATCACAAAAAAATCACTTGGTATAGGTACCCTAGATAATGTCTTGTAAAATGAGGGTCTGACCCAGAAAATAAAAATATCTCAGAGTTCAAGTTTTAACCCATACCCTGCTATATTTCTATATTGGATCTGTCCAACTCTAAATTTGAAACAGTCCATTCAAAGTTCAAAGGAATTTCAATATCAAAATACCAAAAATTGAGCTGCCAATAGTATAGAGCCTGGTCAGACTGCATGGATGTACAGGCTGGCCTGGCTCTATACTGGTGGCAAAGGCTGATCACTTTTGGTTCCAGCAGGTTAAGAGATGTCACTAGATTATTTTCACTAATTATTGTACATGAATTTGTTTCAGAATTTATCCAACAGACCGAGCAGTACATTCCTGTTTGGAATCATTTTGAAAGAAATAGTTGCAGCTTTACATAGAATTTACCTTAATGTAAGTTTATCCATACTGTATATATCTCCAGATTTATACTATTTTCTCTACATATAGAAATTTAGATACAAAAAGTATTGTCAAGCATGCTTATAAAATCAGTTACCGGTACCTTAAGATATGTCAATATTTGCAAAAAAAAAACCTTTACCTTGTTATGTAATTGTCTAGAAGTATGGTGATAAAAACCATACAGTCAGCCAAGTATTTTGTACAAAGTATGGCAGGGCTTTGCTTAAATATTGTGTATTTATTATGGAAAATATTTTATCAAAGGTTTTTCTTGGTCTTTGAATAAAAATATTTTTAATGGCAATACAATAAGTGACAGCTTTAGTTTAACTTCTTCCTATATCTGTTTCCTGTTCCCAAATTTGATGAATCATAGGCTCTACCACAACATAACTTGAACCTACTTGAACCTAGGACTTGAACCTAGTATCCCTGGGTTGAGAGACTGACATTTGAGCCATTATGTGACTCCTTAACCATCTCAATTCTACTCAAATATGTAAAAATGCAACATGATTTTTTTCCCAGAATTTATTAATCCCTGTAATTGTAAATACTTGACGTATGTTTCCATTTCACAACAGACAGTATCATACAAGTCTGAAGAAGGTACTTAAAAATCATTTTGTGACTTTTATACATCAATAACTACATTGTATATATATAAGTAGTCTGAGTCTTAAAATGATGTATAGGTCAAGGTCATGGGTCAAGGTTAAGGTCATGGACATTTAATCATGTACTACTGATTGCATTAAATTCTGGTCGATTTTCAATTATTTTATGTAAGGGAGGTAATGCTTACCAGGTAGTTTATACAGATGTTATCCTTCCTTGGAACGTACCTGTGACAACATTATATGAATAAAGTAATAATACATGGAGGGGTAACTTCCCTCCTTTACTGTTGTTTAAAGTTAGAAAATCATCACTAAAACCGAGTGACTTTAAAGGTAACTTTAGTTTTGTTTGTTACTATAATAATTAGAAAATAAATATATATATTTTTTATTTCAGCCAAATGGCAATATATACCCAGTGTTAAATGACATTATTGGACCAAATTGTTATGATTTAGCATCATTAGTACATGGAGGTCAAATTGATGGGAGAGAAGAAAGTGTCCTCGTTCAAGAGCTGCAATATGTTATAGAAAATATCATATATCACATCACTGAAATCATGGTAAATATAATATATCAAACCACAGAAATCATGGTAAATATCATATATCATATAAATCATGGTAAATATCATATATCACATAAATAATGGTAAATATCATATATCATGCCTTATAAATCATGGTAAATATCATATATCTCATCGCAAAAATCATGGTAAATATCATATATCATACCACATAAATCATGGTAAATATCATATATCTCATCACAAAAATCATGGTAAATATCATATATCTCATCACAAAAATTATGGTAAATATCATATATCTCATCACAAAAATTATGGTAAATATCATATATCTCATCACAAAAATTATGGTAAATATCATATATCTCATCACATAAATCATGGTAAATATCATATATCTCATCACAAAAATCATGGTTAATATCATATATCTCATCACAAAAATTATGGTAAATATCATATATCTCATCACAAAAATTATGGTAAATATCATATATCACATAAATCATGGTAAATATCATATATCTCATCACATAAATCATGGTAAATATCATATATCTCATCACAAAAATTATGGTAAATATCATATACCTCATCACAAAAATTATGGTAAATATCATATATCACATAAATCATGGTAAATATCATATATCACATAAATCATGGTAAATATCATATATCACATAAATCATGGTAAATATCATATATCACATGAATCATGGTAAATATCATATATCTCATCACAAAAATCATGGTAAATATCATATATCTCATCACAAAAATCATGGTAAATATCATATATCTCATCACAAAAATCATGGTAAATATCATATATCTCATCACAAAAATCATGGTAAATATCATACATCACATCACATAAATCATGGTACTGTATAAGTGGATATTTATGTGACACAAAAATTTTGCAAATGTCAAAAAGTGGACTTTTTCCATGCAGAAATATTTGTGAAAATATTTCTTGAATTTAAAACAGTTTTTGTGATATCATTAATAAAGCAGGTACATGTTAAAAATGTGCCATTATTGTAATCACTCTATTCAGTTGTTTAATACCTTTATTATTATTAAGTGTTTGAAATATCCATTGTTAATTTGATTAAGGACCTGGTCACACATTTCTTTGTCATATTTTAAAACATTCTTATCTTATATGAATAACCTATCGTGTTATTAACACATATATTGTTTTATTAAAACATTTGTGATTTGTTAAGACCAAACATTCAACAAACAAGCAATGAGAAAAATAATCCTCAGTACCTGAACAGTCAATCTTATTCATGTAAGATGCTGTATGAAAAACTCTTTTCAAATGATAGAAGGAAGTTTGCCTAATAAGAAATAGTTTTTGCATGATCAAATATTTGCAAATAATTTCAATTCGCAAAAATCGCAAATATTTCCATGTTGCAAAATTTACCACTTATACAGTGAATATCTTATATCACATCACAGAAATCATGGTAATATCATATTACAATAATTGTGGTCAATATCATATGTCATAGTTAAGAAATCATGATAAATATCATATATTATAGCTCAGAAAACATGGTAAATATCTTTATATCATACCTTAGAAATCATGGTAAATATCATATATTATAGCTCAGAAAACAATTGGTAAATATCTTTTTATCATACCTTAGAAATCATGGTAAATATCATATATCAAATCACAGAAATTGTGGTACCGGGTAAATATCATATATGACATAAAAGAAATTGTGTTAAATAAGATATGTCACATAACAGAAATTGTGGTTATATATCATAACACAGAAATCATGGTAAATATCATTTGCATATAACATCACAATTACATAATTATCATCATGAATTATCTAATGAAGTAAATATAATTTATCACATAAATCTTGGTATAGTTTAAACATATATCATATCATAGATATCATCGTACATATTGTGGCACAAAGTTCTTCACAAAGTTTACATTTGATATCAGTATTATAAATGTAACATGCATACATGTAACTAGAATGTTTTCAAAACACTGATGTTTTATATTTATATAGCCTAGTACAGGTGTGTTAGGAACTCATAGGAAGTCTGCAGTGTTTGAGTTAATCAAGAGTGGGAAACGCTTTCCTAATGGCTATTTTTGGCAAGTAGAAATGGTAAGACTTTTTTTCTCTATGAAATCACACCAAATAAAGGCATTGCATTCCCAATATGTCTTTCCAAATTATGAAGTGAAAAATTACAGTTTGCTGTCATTTATGCTCCCAAAATTTTTGTCTGAGTGTATAGTGGCAATTTTGTTTTTCATTATGTCCGCAAGTCAATTTCAATGTTTTTTCCTTCTGTCACATTTTCATATTTTATCTCACAGAACAATCATTTACAGATTATTTCTTACATAATTATGTAGGTTCACTGTATTAAATTTACATGGATTTCTTGCTAAAGGTTTAAGTTGTAGGGGTCAAGGTTAACTGAGGCTGAAATTAGATTTTTTTCTCTTTTTCCTAATAGAGCTTTCATTTTGGTATGATAATCATAAGATATTTGTACAAAGGTATGTTGCAAAGTCCCCAACCTTTTTGTGGGGTTTCATAAAATAAAAAAAGATTCTTATATATTGACTAAGGGAAACAACTCTTACTGTCAATAGATAAACAAAGGGAAACAACTTGTATTTTACAGGATAGACTACAATTCACAGAACAAGGAAGAACTCACAATGTGACAGACTCAGAAAGTTTTATGTTGCTGCTTGGTATATTTATATCCAGAAGTCTTGTTACTACTGTAAGTTTTGATTATTTTAATTTAATTTAATTATTATTTTAGATGATGACACTTGTGTTCAGTTTATTGTATCAAGTAGTGAAATGGCTGACTGGGTTACTTTTAAGCATTTAAATTGCAGCTACTGTTTATCCCTGCATGATCATAAGAGGCAACTAAATGGGTTGGACTAACTGGAGTCTATGATGATGATGATCTCATCACTCCAGCAGGCAAGGTGGTTTTCACCCCTGATGTTGCTTTGAAGTTTGTAACACCCAAAGTTAGCCAAACTCCTCTTTCCTGTTTTGGTGCCATATGACCTATATGGTTTTGATGCACTGTAAAACAAGCAAACAATGAAACAAATGGCTTTTTAAAAGTATAGTTATACCCCACACAACAAAGTTGTAAGGGGGGTATACTGGAATCAGCTTGTCCGTCCGGACATCTGGCTATCGGGCCATTGGACATCCATCGGTTTTTCCTTGTCTGCCCAATAGCTTAAGATTCCTTTGACCAACAGTCTTCATATTTGGCATGGAGGTTAGTCACGATAAGTAGGTGACCCCTATTGATTTTAAGGTCACCAAGTCAAAGGTCAAAGTCACAGGAGCCTTGACTAAAAAAAGCTTGTCCGCCTAATAACTAAAGAATCCTTTGACCGACAGTCTTCATATTTGGCATGGAGATTAGTCATGATTAGTAGATGATCATTATTGATTTTGAGGTAACCAGGTCAAAGGTCAAGGTCACAGCGGCCTTGACTTAAAAAAGCTTGTCCGCCTAATAACTTAAGAATCCTTTTACCCACAGTCTTTCTATTTGGCATGGAGATTAGTTATGATTAGTAAATGACATCTATTGATTTAGAGGTCACCAGGTCAAAGGTCAAGGTCACAAGGGACCTTGACATAAAAAGTTTGTCTGCCCAAGAACTTAAGAATCCTTTGACCCACAGTTTTCATATTTGGCATGGAGGTAAGTCATGATTAGTAAATGACCCCTTTTAATTTGAAGTCACCAAGTCAAAGGTCAAGGTCGCAGGGGCCTTAACTATAAAAAGCTTGTCTGCCAAATAACTTAAGAACCCTTTGATCCACAGTCTTCATATTTGGCATGGACGTTAGACATGATTAGTAGATGACCCCTATTGATTTTGAGGTCAGCAAATCAATGGTCAAGGTCACAGGGGCCTTTACTTCATAAAGCTTGTCTGCCCAATAACCTAAAAATCCTTTGACCAACAGTCTTCATATTTGGCATGGAGGTTGCATATGACCATTTAGTGACCCATGTTGATTTTGAGGTCACTGGGTCAAGGTCAATGGGCCTTAAGTTCACAGTCTTCATATTTGGTTTTGAGGTTGGTTATAACTAGTAGATGACCCCTATTGGTTTTTAAGTCACTGGGTCAAAGGTCAAGGTCAGAAGGGCCTTGACTGAAAAAGTTTATATGCCAAATAACTTAAGGAACCTTTGACCCACAGTCTTCATATTTGGCATGGAGGTTGATCATGACCATTAAATGACCACTATTGATTTTGAAGTCAGTGGGTCAAAGGTCAAGGTCACAGGGGCCTTTACTTCAAAAGCTTGTCTGCTCAATTGTTTAAGAATGCTTTGGTTAACAGTCTTCATATTTAGTATTGAGGTTGGTTATGACTATCAAATGACCCCTATTGATGTTTAGGTGACTGTGTCAAAGGTCAAGGTCACAGAGGCTTTTACTACAATAAGCTTGTATCCTCAAATGCTTATGAATGCCTGTCCAAAGTGTATTGATTTTGACATTTTCACATTTGAAGCTCATATATTCATCATAAAACACCCACAGACAAAGCCGCATGAATTGGTTTATGGGCGATATTCAAGTCATGCTGTGGCAGTTTCAGTTTTGAGGTCAGTAGGTCAAAGGTAAAGGTCACTTTGATCTTTGCCACTTAAAACATGTAGAATACATAACTTAGCAATGCATTGGCTTACTACCCTTAGATTTGGCTGGGTGGTTGTCCTTGAGCTCTGAATGACCACTGTTGAGTCTGACAAAGTGGTATGTGGGGGTATTCACGCCATGACAGTGGCAGTTCTAGTTTATTTTGCTATTTTCTATTAGATATTGTTTACACCAAAAGAATTATTTCCTATCTGATAACAGCAGTTTGTTAAATAAACATTTTATTATGCTGTACAGTTGGTACTTGTGTAACCTTTAAAATATTAGTATTTTTTACCACATTAACTCTCAATTCTTGCGAATCAGGTTTGTTGCTCATGTGTCATAAAATTTTGAATGATATTAAAGTATGACCACCCTTATGGTCACTGTAAGGAACCGAAAAAGTGACAACATAGTTCAGTTATGTGCCTTAAAGGTCTCATGTATGCGAAATTTAAGTAAAATTTATCTTGTCACTGTTTCCATACAATACTATTTTTTTAGAATGAACAGTCTTTTTGTTTCTTTCGGTTTGTTGGCAATTGGTTTGATTAAAGTGAATGAGCATTTTGTATGGGAGTAAAAATACTTCTTTGTTTACATTTTAATTGCTACCTTTATGATACATTACTGCACATTCAGTGCTACTTTTTTCAGCTCTAAAACATTTAACATTATTAAAACATTATTAAACACATAACTGACATTTCTAAAGAATTTGATAGATATAGGATTCTTAGGTATACTGTGCCTTTAATATAAAGTTATATTTTTATATTGTAGATTTTAATGAAACCTTTGGACTATGGTTTGTGTTCAGAACCATTGTCAGAAGTAGCGGAAAGAAATCTACGTATTGTTGCATCAGCAATTCTATTTTTAGTGCGAAGAATATCGATACAGAGGGGCCGTGGGATTATGGTAATAAATGATTTTGATATTTAACCTTTTGAATGTGAGAGAACAAAAGAGCCCATAATGTCTTGCATACCAGTTGAGAGACAAGCAGTTTCAACATACATGATTTAGTTTGAAGAACAAGTCTTTAAATTTTGTATCCTCTTTAAACAATTTTTTTCTTCAATGAGAATAAAGCCATATAGGATTTCACGAAAGTCTATGTTTGTTTGATCCTAAAATAATTAAATTAAAGTTATGAAATTTTTGCACAGTTATTATATTTCAAAACTTACTGTGTATCATGGTTGAAGCCGTCTGCTAATGTTATGGCTAAGTTTGGTATGTAAATGTGTCTTTTTGGTAAATTCTAGAATTCTTTTCTCAGAATTATGATAGAAAATTTCATGTGAATACATTTTTCAACATCAGATTAAAAATCCTTTCAAATGTCAACACAGCTTTACACAGAATTATTATAGAAAGACAAATACCTTTATGTATGTGTTATGGCTTTTGGTCATTCAGGATTAAAAATAGCATTTCAGGAGAAAAGTATCAACATTTAACTGGAAATAATCTTTACTTAAGGCTGAGAGTTTAGAGTAGACCACTGATTAGCTGTGATTCAAAATCATTTGTCTCTAAAAAATGGCAACAGAGGCCATAGTTTTAATGGAAGCTGTTCAAAACAGTAATATTTAGAGTCATTTATGTTAATGATAATATCATTTTATATTTTATGTTCACAGGAAATGCCATCGGAGATCGGGAAGTACTTGTATAGTGATGATGAAATGCAGCATGTGTACAGTAGACTATCTAGAACATTCAATTATTGTGAGGGTTTACTGAGGGAGTGGGGCACAGAGTACATACGACGTTTGAGGGCCAGTTACATGCAGAAACAGTAGAATGGGGGAGTCGGGCACAGAGTACGTTTGGAAGCTATAGATTATAGTAATATGCAGAAAAACAATGGAAAAATCCTACTGACATTCAATGTATTTTTTAAGGAAATGTGATGTTTAAGTATGATAATGTCAGTTATCAAATTAATAGCAAGTTATCTACATTGTACATACTGGAGCTATAATGAAACTGTGATATTTGATTCAAATGTGATATATATATATATATATTATGATACCCATAAAAAGGAAGCAGGCTGACATAGAAACAACAGAAAATTAAACTTTTATTAATTGAATTAAGATTGGTATTGTTTTGATGCAATGAGTATGATCACTTTGATCTGAGTTGAAAAGCAAGTTATAAATTGTATACTTAAAATTTAACTCTGTATGTTGGAATTGTCAAGTAATATTATAAAATATATGAAGACCATAGTAACCATTTTTATTGAAAAACAAGTTGTTTTCTTTTGCAGAACAGTCAATATTGGTGCCTTAACATGGCACTATTGTGAATTTATAATGTTCAACATGTCTATTTGAATCAAGAACAATAGAAAATTGATGCTTAGTGTGAAATTTATCATAAAACTGTAAGATAGGAAAATACTATGATCCTCATTGATGAAATGATTATATGTACTGAAATACAGACTGTACTGTTGAATATTTTAACTCATATACTGTGAAATTTTGTGATACCTATTTGGAAACAAGTTATATGCAGTAAGAACATGATTGTTTAACACTACATGTACATGTACTATTATTATTTGTATGATGAACTATGAGTTTTCAATTTTTTTTTTGCTTTATTTTGATCTGTGATAAAATTCTCAGGTCTTTTTGCAAGCAATCTACCACATGTGTTGGAATAAAAGCTTAAATGTGTTACTTGATTTAGCTTGCATGCTGCACAAACATTGGTGTGATGTATACAAATATGATTTAAATACCTATTTTTACTCATTTTCTTTCCTGTGAGATAATGTAAATACAAACGTAAAAATATTTGTTTGAAACAACTGGATGTACATCAATTCCGCTTTAATTACATTAAAATTAGGCTTTTTCGTCTTTTAACTGACATGTTTGCTTATATTGGCAAGGGCACATAACTCTGTCATAAATTTTGACAAAATTATGCCCCTTTAGTTAAGTTTTTCATAATACCCCCCTTTTAAGGTATTGTTTTGTTACTTGGAATGGTTGTTAATGACCATCATCTTTATTTATAGTCAAGTGGACATAACTCTGTCATTAATATTAACATTGTTGTGGCTATATACTTTCACTCACATGTTCGGTTAAATTTTTCATATCACTTCCATGCAAGAGGACATAACTCTGTCAGAATTGTGCCTCTTTTTCGACTTTCGGATATGTTTTTTTGTACCATTCAACATTTGTCGTATAGTCGGGGTTATTGCTTTAAAGCTTTGATTTTTTTGAGTGATTATAAATCCCATATGCAGAAAACTTAACACAAGTGATTTGAGTCATTCTGCCAAGATATCAATTTAACAACTTTCCATGTTATTATCAACCTATTACTGAGAAGTGAATTTTGTGCATATTTTTTATACTATTTTAGCTATTTGCTGTGGATAGCAGTCTTGATTAAAAAGCTCAATTTGTACACTTGTAAATCGTTTTTACTCAAAAGTGGAGTTTTTAAATTTTTATTTACTTTCAACACAAATCTGGAGTCACGCATTTTTAATATTTACAACATATATGATAGTTATGAGTGCAGAAGTTTGGTTTTCATATACCACCAGGGATTTATCAATTTCTGAATTTTGAGGAAAATTGAATATGTGCATACATTATATCATGTATTTATTATTTATTTATACCTTTACCCTTGTAATGTGATGTCATTTTATAATTTAGTGATATTCTCCTGAATGTATGAATAAAATGTATGTTAAGTTGTCAAGTCATTTTTTATGTTGCTTTCTTTGGTTATGGACTTTAACATCAGTATCACTAGCATCAGAGAGTTATCATAGAGTCATATTAGAAACAATAATAAATCAACCGCTAACCTACATGAATCCAAAGCGTTTGCCACCAGTATACAGCCAGGTCAAGCTGCAGACCAAGCTCTGTACTGTTGGTAAATTAATTTTTAAATTTTGACATTGATATCCTTGAATGAATGAATGAACTGACCCAAATTTAAAGCAATGGTGAATCCATTAAAGTAAATCGGTGTTAAGAATTAACATGTGTATATTCAGCAACATGAACAGGCACAGTTGTCCAGTGGTAAGGTTTATTAAAAATCCAGTTTGGTTTTCCTTCTAATTCAGCTAATATTACAAGAAAGAAGACTTGAAAGTAAAAGCCATATTTATGGTGTTTTACAGACTGCATTTTTCTGTTATCTAAATTGGAGTAATTTCTGTGTTCACTGATCTTCTAACTTCACTTAATCCAGCTTCATTCACATCATGCCAGTGTATCGATTTTTCTACAAAGAAGATTTTAAATTTTTTTGGAGCTATGGGGTCTTTGCTGTTGCCATCCACTTTCTTTAACATTGATCATATTTTTTATTCTAATTATACTGTCTTCATACTTGGACAGAATGACCATTTGGGCAAACCTTCGAATTGACCAGACTAAACTTGACCCTGTCTCACAGATTACTTTGACCTTTAATGTAAATTTTTGATTTTTGATTAAGTGGCCTATTAATGTGGCATAGTTTAAACATTAGTCTGACCTTAAACTGGCCTGGGCCGTGAAATTGGCTAGAATTTGTTATGAATGGATAGATTTGATTCATACTTGGAGTAACAACACTTAGGACAAAACAGGTATGTTGAATACATGTATTTCAAATATGATCTTGACCTTAAAATGACTGACCATCATATGACAAAGTTTTGACAGAACTGGCCTTGATGAGTCAAAGTCATTGATTTGATTCATATTTGACAAAAAACGATTATGTTGATTAATTCAAATATGACATTGATTTTTAAATGACATTGGCTGTCAATATATTATTAAAATTTTGCTCAAATTGACCATTACTTTAATAGTTACTAATTAATGGATTTAATTAACACTTGAACATATAACAATACCAAAATAACAACAACAACAAACCCAATGGGAACACCAACTTGTTGAATAATTTGAGTATGACCTTGTCTTATAAATGTTAGAAAGTTTAGTTAAACTCGGTGGCTTTTGTTTGAAATGTTTTCCTTTGGAAGGAGAGGAAAAAACGTGGATACCTGTTTGCATGGCCATTGTGATTGGAATAATTGTGTCCATGCCATTTTATATGCGTATTTAAAGTCAGTATTTTTGTTGGCTTGAATAACGGTTTTGAACTGCGCGCATGTTTTTAAATAAAAGAGTGTTATTGTAAATCAGGTTGAATATATGACATGATAATAATCAAGAAATGATTTGTTTCGTGTTTACAAGCATGCTATCTACCGGTCAAAATCCCTCTTTATAATAACGATTTTCATTTTACGATGAAAGTGAGGATTTGCAATCGTTTTAAAACATTTTGACATCAATTTAATATATTCATCGCTTTAAATATTAGTTTTAATAAATAGTACGAAAGTTAATCTTGTCAAAATCGATAATAAAATAAAATAGTAAAGTATCTACGTAAAACAAGATGAAACATGCAACTTTAAAATAAATTCGTTTAAAGTTATAACATTATCTTGATCTTTTATGAGACATTTTAAAATTTAAATAGAATTGAAACAAATTATTCACTTGAACACTGAAATAAAGATTTGTTTAATTGAAAACATTTTCCAGTCCTTTATGGGAAGACAAATCACGGATTTATGTTACATATAAATCCGTGTATATAAGTCCGTGGTCAAATAAGTCAGTTTATCAAACTTTATTATAAACATTACATTTTTATTACATGTTTAACTTTTTTTAGGTATATTATTGAAGTAGGTCATCCGTTTATTTACGTTAATCTATAAACTTCCTGTTTGATTTTGTAAAGTTCATAAATAAACAAGCAAATGTAAACAATTTAAAAAAAAATGTTTTACTGATATGGATATGTTGAATTTTACTTTAAATGCTATTTTATTATTTGGACTAATAACAATTGTCAATTCGGGTAAGATTTCCCTGATAACTGAACTTCTTTGATATTTTAATTTTGAATTTTACTAAATATTTCATTCGACCTTTTCCAATATAATGTATGCCAAGATAACTCAATAGCTTAAATCATGACATACAACTCGTACATATATAACGATAAGTTTTGCCTGCCCAGCCCATTTGAAGTGAATGTGACGTTAAATTCAAATATTTCCTTATTTAGAAAATGTGCAGTATGCAATCAGTGAAGCACGCTGGTCTTTTGACAGTTCAACAAGGAATATTGGCGCGAAACTGTAATACCGGTGCAAGGATAGAATACAGTCTTTAAAAAAAGTCTCGTCAATATAATGACATTTTGGTTCAATATATTGCTACTTTGGTATCATATATTGAAGAACTGGTATCATATAATGTGAAACTCAACTTATATATTGCTAATTCGGTTACATACATTGATCAACTGGATTCATATATTGTAAAATTGATTTAATATATTGATAATTCGGTTTCATATAAGGGCATCTTGTTCCATACATGACTTACTTGGATCCAAATATTGAAAATCTGGTATCATATAATGTGATAATCAACTTATATATTGATACCTCGGCTCCATACATTGATAATTCGGTTTTATATATTGTAAAAATGAATTACTATATTGATAATTCGGTTTCATATCAGGACATCTGGTTCCATACATTGCTACTTTGGTACCATATATTGAAGACCTGGTATCATATAATGTGATAATCAACTTATATATTGATACTTTGGTTCAACACATGGATGAAATGGTTTCATATATTGTAAAAATGAATTAATATATTGATAATTCGGTTTCATATAAGGGCATCTGGTTCCATACATGGCTACTTTGGTACAATATATTGAAGAATTGGAATCATATATTGAGAAAATCAACTTATATATTGCTAACTCGGTTTCATACACTGACAGTATGGTTTCATATATTGTAACTGTGGATTAATATAATGGATTCCGGTTAAATAAAAAGGTGTTTTCAAGTCATATATAGTCGACGTGAACTTATATATTATCCAAATGGTTAAATAAATTAAAAAAGAACAATATCAGACAGCCATGGCTTTCCATAAACCTCTGTGATTAGATTGTGGTAATCATCATCATCATTTCATTATTATTATTATTATTATTAACGTTATACATGTTTATTTTTCTTGTATGTAGATACTGTGCAGCAAATTTATATCAAAGACAACAAAATACCTGTAAAAGGAGGCGATATACAGATTGTATGTGAAGTATCGCCGTTTACCAAAGATGTTTTAAGGATCTATAAGGCAGATTCCTTGCCTCAAGATATTACCACAGCTTCATTAGTAACCCAATGTATTCCATCACAGTGTATAGGAAATGTACCAAGACATACATTTAGTCCTAGTAGCAGTGGTGTTACTATTACAGTCACCAATCTAAATAGATCAGAAGACCAGAAATATTGGATTTGTACTATAAACAGCCAGAGGAAACACATGCGGTTAACTGTATACAGTATGTAGACTAGATTTTTTTATTGTTTTGAATGTGCCCCAATGCTTGTTTATCAAACAAATAAACAGGTGATGTACATTTGTTTCTATAGACGTTTGTTTATACATTGAGTAGAAGAACATGATGAATGAATAAATTACAAATTCTTAATAAGGCATAATACACATATAATGTTTGTTTTGATATCCCCGAAAGAACTTTGGCGTATATTGTTAAGGCATTTAGAAGTCCGCCTGTTCGTCCGTCCGTCCATTAGCAATGTTGTGTCCTTTTTGTATCCTCCAATGAATGATAATGAGGTGATATATGCAGAACGCATATTTGACTTTCTTCAGGTCAAGGCCACACGAAGTCATGTATTAATTTCAAAATGTCGAACCGAGAGAAGGAAAATAATACTATTTGACAGAAACGCAACTTACAAAGGAGAAGATGATATATGCAGAACGCAGATCAAAATTTGCCCCACCCCGGAAGTCACTTGATTCTTTTAAACTTATTCTTTCTAACGAATATAAGGAAATATATTTAAGAGTTTTTTAATATTTGACAAAATGATCATCATGTAAAGCGTAACAACTAGGTAGTACCACAAAGTCAAGGTCACTCTTAAGAGACGAATGTAAAAAGTTCACATTTTGTGTCCACTACGTAACTTTTAAACTAATGAAGTGTTTTTTTTTATTATTTTGTTTGTTTGTTGTTTTGGTTTTTTTTGGATAAAAATCACAGAAATTATCACAATTATAAGACAATGTACAGTGCGCAACAACCAAGCCTCTACTCAAGGTCAAGATCTTGTAAAGCTTGCATGTTGCACACTACCAAAGTGTTCGGGAAATAGGATTAAAATGCCTGCACCCTGAAACCTAAAACATTTCCCGGTCAAGTTTCGTAAGTGGATTTTTTTTTAAATTCTTCAAAACAAATTTTATTTGGTCGTGTATTGCACCGCATTAGTTGTGCTCTTGTTACAAATATGTAATATTTTCTTGGAAACGTGCATGTTTATCATATAACTAGAAAATATCTTAAATGTATTCAACAGCAATTAATATTTTAGAAATGAATGTATGAAATAGGAAAATGATTAATAGAATTGATATTTTAATTGAGTTATTTTAGTTTCCCAGTTTCTACTAGAAAGAGCGCAGGGGCAAAAGTCTTTGTCCAGTTGTTCAATGCAATGGTTTTAATTTTGCATCAAAGATATCCTGGGATACAGCTAAACTCATATTGAATTGAAAAAGAATTTACGTGTTTTTTACCAACTGACCCTCCTAGGACAGGGCATATTTTTTGATGGTACCAATGCCAAAGTCTTCAATGTTATCCGGGGGCGGGCTTGTAGGTTTACCTATGACGTTGGATAATTTACTATGTGTGTTCTTAAGTCTTTATTGTCCATTCCCATTCCAGCTATCACACCATCACTCCAGTATGATAATCCACCAAGCCAGAACCAAGACCTCGTTCAAACGTCAGTGACATATAGCTGTAGCACAGGATGTGCCTATCCTTCACCAAACTTCACATGGTATTATAATAAGGTAATATTTGTTTTAGATATAATATCAATTGCCATAATTTCTTAAACTATTTCAATAAAAGTGTTGTTTCACTTGGAACAACGGAGAAAATTATAGAATTCCGTTTAAGTTTGTGACATTAATAGTGCTCACGCACCCTAGCTCACCATCCTTGTCGTCTCTGCCTACTTCGTAGGGTTACCCCCTTCGGCAAAAGTCAGGACACCGGCAGCTTGTCCGCAGATACAAGAACTTTTCTTTATTTAAATCTTTATTTAGATCGTTTGTCGATGCCCTGTGCCTTCTCAAAGACGCGCACGCGCCCTACCATACAATTAACAAGATTTATACCTGTACGTCTGCTATAAGTTAAGTCAATCAAATCGGAGAAATTAATACCAACTGATACCAAGAATGTCGACAAAATACCTCAGAAAGGGGCGCCTACGGGGCACGTCGACTGGCATGTTTTTGTTGGGCTACCTTTTTAAATAAAATTGAAAGACTAGCTTCATGAACGAAGCTCAAAATAATGGTGTGTAGGCTCCTTCGAGGTTTACAATATATAATGGGATATTTCTCTTAAAAGTAGAAACTTAGATAGTTCAGGAAGGAGTCTATTTCACGAAAAAATATTTTTCGACCTGGCTGAATGGTGATCCCTATCATTTTTTGAAATGCTAATACTTGTTATATTTACAGACAGGTGGATTACGTCAAGAATGGTCAACAACAGCACCTGTAACAGATAGAACTGGTGGTTGTACTGATTCTGAGAAAATATATACATCAACATTAACTCTATCAAGATACACGCAGTTTACTGACAATACAGATACTACTGTGCAGTTTCAGTGTGGTGCTATTTCAATAACTGGTGCAGGAGATCATCGTTTTACTCCAGCATCTGTAGATGTCAGATTTGCAGGTACATATTCTGTATTTTTTCTAACAAATAAAAGAGCTAATATGTTACATTCTGCTGAACTATCTCTTTACACAAACAACACTTTTTGGTCAGATGGCCGGTTTTCTATAACGAAGAAATACACATTTGAAATATTGAGAAAGTATAGTATATAATCCTAAACAATCTTTTAAATGATTTGTTTCGACGTTTTTGAAACTATTATTCCTTAAAAGTGGATTATGGTGAAAATAATAAGTGCTTATTACTCTATAATTTTGTTACATTTCTATTTGATAAATTTCGCTACAATCTACCATTTAAGGTGTTTCTTGTTTTCTTCGCTACAATGTTTAAACACATTGTCGAAAATCTAGAAAGAAAAACATAAGCAATTATTTTGTGTGGCAAAATTATCAAGCAATAAAATATGGGTTTTATAATAAGAGTGCATTGAGGATATTTGATATAATGCGAATTGTAATAATTTTTCGATTTTAATGTTCCATTTGATAAAGGTCTGGACCAATTACTTGAATGCAAAATTGCAGATCACTTGCTCACTCCGTTTTATACAAGAGTGTTTTTTCTAATTGTGAAAATTGATCTTAAAATGAAAGCGTTGCAATGCTTTTCACTCAAATCGGACTAAAATAGCACAAAAATACGCTGTTCTATTATTTATTCTACGCAAATATCAACAGACAAAATACTTCTTAGTTTTATTTAGCATAATCAATTGTATAAATCAAATTTATGATAAAGGTTGTCTTTTGGATAAAGAAATAATCACGTACACACGTGTTATCAATTTGTTCACAATGTTAAAATAATATGTCATAATAATTTGCCGACAGACATGTCACTCAAACAACATCCATATGCATTACCACAAGTTATCTTATGTTATTCTAAATAATATAGGTTACGTTTTGCTTCAGTACGTGTATCAACACTGACATTAAAAGATGGGAATTCAATTCCTTCAAATTCATTAGAAGTGAACAGTGGGGAACCTCATACAGTGACATGTACATCAAGTGTCAGCAGACCAACAGCAACTATCATCTGGTATTATGGTGGTCAGAAAAACAAAACAGAAACTACTAGGACATCTAGCTTTACATTCACGCCAGTATACTCGGATAATCTGAAACAAGTTTACTGTAAAGCATTCAATATACAGCAAGAAAGCCAAGCTGTGTCTTCAAACATTGTGTCACTTTATGTAAAAGGTATTTCCAATCCTAAAACGATTCTTTTCATCCCAATTTAAAGAATAATAAATATGCACTACAATAAACTGGAAACAAACACTTTTTACTTTTATATTTGCGTTAAGTTCAGAATACTTTAGAAACAAATTTGCTGTGAGGTTTGCAATGTACATTATGAAAACTGTTTTTGTATAGCTGAGCTTAGATAAAAGATTTATAATTGCGCTACACAATTTTATTTCCAAATGGCAAATCTGTTAAGCGCTGCAAAAAAACTATATATCTTTAACCTTCTATGGTAACTTATAATTATTTTGTTGAAAAGTTCTGGCTCCTTACTTGAGAACAATCTTAAGTTTCATGCAAAACAACTTAATCTATGTGGTCGTGCCTTGATATGATATTTAATAAAAAATACCAGAGACTTTCTGAATTTTAAGAAGGAGAAAAAAGATGACATTATTATAGGAAGATATGAAATACCTAACCCCTGACTCAAATTCTTTTTCATTTATATAAGTTAACATGGGTAAATTTTACTAACTTATTTTTGAAAGAAAAATAATTCTTAGTTGTAATTGCATAGACACTGATATTCTTTAATACTCCTTTTTATCGAAAAATAAAATCTAATTGTATGTATTTTGATAACACTCACCTAGATACCGGGTAATACTGTTTAAAATAAAAAATTATCTTGAATGATCTAAATAAAGTAAAATATTTTACACATTTCAGTGAAGGTAGCTAATGTTACACTAAAGGATGGCAACACTGAACCATCAGGAACGCTAGAAGTAACAAATGGTGTATCTAAAACATTGACATGTACAGCAAGTGTAAGCAGACCTACAGCTACAATTATCTGGTATATAGGAAAAGATGAGAAGAAAAGAGAGATTGTTACACTGTCTACATTTACATTTACACCAGTTATATCCGACCATAACAAACAAGTATATTGTAAAGCTTCACTGTCAGGAAATCCAGATGTGTTTTCAAACAGAATAACACTTTATGTTAAAGGTTGTGATTTTCTTTACATATCTATTGTTGATTTGTCTCAATTTTACCTTCAATCTTTTAGAAATGCTTTATAAGTTCTTATACAGCAAACAACGTTTTCTTTTAAATTGGCAAAGATCTTACTAAAATACTGTTCTCTTCGTATCACAGGCAAACATTGCTTTTGATTAAAAAAATGAAAAATGCGCATACAGTTCCAAATAATACTTTTTGTATACTGTATTTATAACGTATTATTATTAAAAAATATAATAAACAAGAGCAACAAAGAAAGGCGGTGTTCAATGAACGCAACACCCACACGACCCAGTAACAATAACCAGTGTCAAGGAATCCAGGAGGACCCCAAACAAAAACAGGACAGGGCGCAAGGAAGAGCCTAATTGTCCTTAGTCTAACACCGCTGATTTAGAAATAGCAATAATTCACTTGCAGGAGAAATTGATAATTAATGTTCGTTACTCAGAAAAGCCCACTAAAGTCCATCAACCGCCATGATATGACAAGACAATTGTGTTAAAATTGCATAGAACCAGAAAAATAAACAGCCATTAAAGCTTACGGAACAAATTATAATACACCATAATATATATAGCTTACCTTTACAAGTATAGGCTAGAATTTCTAGAAAGTTAGCTGTATGGGACATACTTTTATTTTATTCTTTTTGACGGATATTATTGTCATATTTTCAGTATTAGCTACCACTCCTACAATCACAGATCTTACAACAGAAAAGTTAGAAGGAGATCAAATAAGATATAAGTGTACTTCCTCTCAAACACGACCTGTTGCTATAGTAACATGGAAGTTACACACTATTATACTGAGTGATGTGCAAAATACAGAACATAATCATGGGAATGATCTTAAATCTGTTACAAGTATTGCAACATTAACAGCAAATAGAACTGATAACAACAAAACAATTTACTGTGAAACCACAATACCTGGACAAAGTGTAGTGAATGCTCAAGAAAAGATAACGGTGTATTGTAAGTAAATGTAAAAACAGTACATAAATTGTTTTGTTTCTTAAAAAACAAATTCCAGTTAAGGTATTTTCAGAGGTTAACTTAAATTTATGTAGTTTTGTAGTTTCAGGCGTTTAACTAAATGTTACAATGAACATTATTATATAACATACCATACCAACATATACTTATAATATATTTTTTATAGTTTTATAAGCTGTCAACTATTGAGTTTTTTGTTTTATTTATTTTTATAGACTTAAAATTTTATATTTCTTAATAATGCTTAGGTTTAAGAATATTGCAGCGGGAAATGCAAGAAATTAGGGGCGACGAGCATGCTAAGTGTTGTCGACTAAATTGCGAGTTGATATGGAAAAACTGATAAACCTTGTATTTTTATTAAAAGTTTGATGAATGTTTTTTGTTAGTTCTTGTCTGTTTGAATTTGATATAATATAAAAAGTTAACAAACTTGTCTTATTTACAGGGCCACCAATGTCACCTGTTATACTAACAAGCAGCTTTCCATTTCTAGAAGGTCAGACAGGAAAGAGTATTTATTGTTCCTCAACTGATTATGGTAATCCTACAGCTACAGCAACATGGACCACACAATATGGAACACCTGATAGTGCTGATACAAGAAAACTAAGGTTACCTAAACTAACATATCAAGTTGATAGAAGTCCAGTAAAATGTCAGTTGAAGAATTTATTTACACAGAGGAAAGGTCTTCAGATCCAGTCCATACAAGTGCTATTACAAGTTGAATGTAAGAAAAATAAATATAATTGGTATTAAAAGCACGGAAACGATCACTCAAATATACTTAAACCCGAATTCAGAATGTTACAATGTCAATCCTGCAGTTTACTTAAAGCTTGATACTTACGTAGACTCTCCGTAAAGGTTCCGGTTGTTAGCAAAGACGCGTTGAAGTCTTTGTCTCTTACGATGTTTTAAAACCCATGTATTTAGATCTATGTTGTTTTAAGAAATACTGAAATAAATAGAAAAGAAATGAAACTATTTTCGGATGGAATAAATAATGTCCTCAAGAATGAAATATATTTTCACAAATTTTACAGATTCTCCAAGAGTACAGATTTTGGCCTATGGGAAACAAGTAACTACCATAACGAGAAATGAAGGCCAAACGTTGTCTGTTACATGTGATGCCACTGGAAATCCAACACCAACAGCAAGTTGGGTGGGACAACAGTCTAGTGGTCCTACTTTGTCATTTGATGATATAGATAGAGCAGACCATGGTAACTACACATGTAGGGCTACAGCAACATCAACTCACTATCTCAGTCATAACTTTTTTACTGAGGAAACATTGGCTATCGTTGTTAACTGTAAGTTGTTATGCATATTCTCATGCTGGCAATCCATTATTGTCTTTTTTAAATTTAGTAAATCTGGATTCATCTTTATCGAACGTTTTTTACCTTAAGATTCATATACAATAATGAGGCTTGGACAAAGTTTTACTTTTTTCCAATCTTATCTTTACTTTGATACATAATCGTGCAGTGAGAAGTTTGATTTAGCAAACATTTAATCGAAGACCACTGAACTAACGCGCAATATCTACCATAAAGAAATTTGAATTTCACTCTTTATAGTTACGTTGCAAGTCATGTTCTATTTTTTAAGTCAGGACAAACTTCAGTACTCATTGAAGGCATTGTGACTTTTAAGCTTTGCTGGTTTCAGTACTTTTGTATGAGGCAAATTTTGCATATCACTTCTTTAAAAGAATTATCAAGGAATTTATTTCATGTGAAATTATTAAGACTAACAATTAATTGAGAATATGTAGTTGGTTTTACATTCTTTGTGTACGATTTTAAGTTTCTAAATTTCATTTCAGATGCACCAGATGTCACTGTTGATGTCAGTAGCTCAAATCCTACTGAAAACCAGCCATTGACAATTAAATGTAAACCTGAAGGGCGACCTGCTGAATATCATTTTACTTCGTTTATACAAAATTGGAGGTCCGTTCTTATTCCTAACACGCATATAACAAACAATGGTGTTATAAAAATAGAAAATATACAACTTCAAGACAGTGGTGCATATATATGTAAAGCTAACAACGGTATTCGAGATAGGAACCAGCAGCTTGATCAAAGTGGGAACAATACTGTTAATATTAAGGGTAAGTTGTCATTTTTCATAAGGGTTCTATTCAATAAGAGCTAGGGACTTGTTCCCGGATTCCCTTGTATCTCATAGCTGTATCTCATAACTTCTTATTCTGTTATTGATTAATTTCATTGGTTACTTTGCTGATTTCATTGTTTACGTAGTATTACAGATTAGTTGTATTTGATTATTATATTCTTTGCTCTAATTATTAAAACTGATAGATGATTACAGTAATTGATATAAACAACTTAATTTTTAATAGTTCATAACAATTAAATTACACGCTAATTGAATTATAAATTTGTTATTAATAAATCTCATTGGTTATTTGACTATTTTATTGTTAAAATACATTTTTCCGATTGTGTTTTGATAATGTTACAAACTTCTTAATGTATTTTTAATCAAAATTCTGATCTTAGTATCAAGATTTTTATCAAGGAAAATCTAAAATTATGATAATTAATATCGATTTTCTTGATAAAGGTAATAATAAAACATGCATTCATTCAAACAAGACATATATATATCTAAAATATTACAGTTTCACCTAAAGTACTTCTTCAGACAACTGAAAGAAAATTTATTGGACAGCTGGGACTAACAACTAATATAACGGTGCCATTTTACAGTGATCCTCCTCCTCAAACTGTGCAATTCTTTCTAAATGGATCTATTATAACAAACTCTGGAAAACATACAGTCAGATTCATTAAAGGACATGTGAAAGATATATTTTATGGACAAAAAGTGCAGCTAGTTGGGTATTTTGCTCAGCTTGAAATAAAGAATGTGGATGAATCGAATTTTGTTAACTACACCTTGGTCATTGATAACGGGATTGGATCATACAAATCATGGATGATTGACCACATCTTTGAAAGTAAGAACATCTAAATGTGATTATTGTTCCATTTGGAAAAGTGTGTAAATTGGTCGTTACATTTTACGGCTTCATTTTAGAGCTTTTCTTTTGTTTAAAGCTAATGATGTGTTTTAACAAATGCAGCTGAATAATCTGTTTCATGACTATAGACTTATTTGAATGTTTTCAATTTACATGTAAGTCGCTTATGAAAAGGCATGTGTATTTGTTATCTTTATATACTTAAGATAGCGATTTTTTTCTACATAAAGAAAACAGACAGGTTATATAATAAGACAAAGAATTTATTCGAACTTCATTTATGTTAATCTGCACATATATCAGAACGTAACTTCATTTTATGGCTAATGAGATACCGTGTGGCAGCCGTAAAAGTTGCCTCGTACTTAACTTCAGTGTTGTTATATTTTTCTGGTCCTTCGGGGTCATTGATTCAAACATTTTTAAGTGTTGAAAATTGAGTACCGCTCAAGCCGGTGTTAGGGAGCATGAGGGATGTTGCACTTTTTCATTATTCCTCATGTATCGAATCAACAAAAGTCTGCAATTTTCATGTAAATTTGTTGTGGTTAATGCATCGCTCTGGTTGATGCTTCCGACTTTAAGTTAAAAGTAATTCTTTTTCATGACTCCCTCCAAGTCAATTGGTAACATAAATGTGTTAACATAAGTGTCGAAGCGTTGTTTTGTTTATGAGATGACACTATACATAATTCATAATTTCAGATAAACCAGATGTACCTTAAAATTTTACTCTTGCAAAACAATTGAGTACAGAAAGTTCATTTACCGTGACATGGACTCCTGGCAATGACAATGGTTACCAACAAACGTTTATATTGAAGTATAAAAAGGTATCAGATGATGAATGGAATACTGTGTCAGTATCTGATACAGGGGAATATGAAATGACCTACACTGTTACCGGATTATCAAGCGGGACATACTACGAGATTGTGTTGTATGCTTCTAATATGCTAGGAAACTCGGAAGAATCTGAAATTATACTTGCCAAAACGAAAGGTCAGCTCATATTATCGAGTAGAAACAAATTCTGTTCTTGCCATGTCTTAATGTAATGTATGTATCTGTACGACCATCTGTTGTTCCTTTTTATTCCCCCATTTACTGGGGTTGGGGAAAAGATTTGCCTTTGTCCGTCAGTCCCGGCGTCACACAGTGCGTCCGCAGACTGACAAAACAGTGGAATGCGAGGAATCCGTGTCCTATAGACGCAATTCAATTTAAAATATATTGTTATTGTTTATATATATTACCCAGAGAGCTTACACGAGAAATATAAAAAAAACTTTCAAAGGGTTTGTACATGTAACTTAAAACTAAAAATGAAAATATAAACGAACGCTGAAATGAATTGCTTGATTCTCTAACTTCTTTTCCTTAACCTTAGGAAAAGCAAAGATACAAGATTGCAACAACGGCGCCTGTAATAATGACATAAAAGCAGTGATTGTAGGCATTGTTCTTGGAATAATCATCGTGGTTAAGTCGTGGCATATGCTGGTTATGTTACAATATTACTGAAACGAAAAAGTGAAAACACAGGTGGGTTCTTTTCTTATTATTTTTTTTTAAATGATTACTTATCAGCTATGTTTGGTAAAAGTAGTTTTATTAGAATTTTCCTTTTTGCCTTTTAGTTAGTCGAAAATGTGTTGTATATTTTATGTTAAACATAATTTCATTCTGAACATATTTGTTTTAGCGGGAAATAACTCTGGACAGCCCACTAAGCTGACTAAGTAAGTCATTATTTCATCAATTTCATTTTTTTTGTTTCTTTGTTTGTGTTTCCACTACATATAGCCATTTTCTAATTGTTGAAGATATAAGTTTTGTATATTTCCTAAGTGAATGGCATATACGTTACATAATTGCTGAATGGTTAAAACCATAATTAACATAAGAGCATATTATTTTGTTCTGTAACATTTTTCCAGTTTACATACAATATCCATGCGTGTTTAAAAGGGATTTTCAAAACGACATAATGTTACTGTTATAACAGCTTACAAGATAAAACTTTTTATCCTTAAAATAAAGTTTTTTTTGTCACATAGATGTTAACTTTTTATGATTACATTGATAGCTTTAAAATAGTAAGAGTATTTAAAAATATAATTTATATATCAAGCACAAATGTAAGGGTATAGTTTTAAATTACATTGTTTTTTAATTAAATTTTATTGAAATTCAACAAAAATATTCTGCTTATTACATGCAAAGGAATGAAAATTGTATTTGATATTTGAAACAAACTTGAGTTTGAAGACGTTTAGTATGCATATATAAATAGATTGATGTATAATTGTATTTTTACTACAGAAACAATGTACCTTTGTATTCAAATATGGTGTTCTCAACAAATGATGGTGAGGACCAACAGGGAACAGATCCAGATGAATCCGGAGAGTCTCAATATACGTCACTGAAGACCGAACTAAAAGACGATAGACAAACATATGACGTATTAAGAGTGTAGTGTTAAATAATTGAAGACAAAGAGAAATCAAGATTTCGACTGAAAGGCATTTTACTTATGATATTTAAATTACAATTTTAAATACTTGTGAACGTAAAAAATAACTGAAAAAAAGATTGAACAAGTTCAACGAAAGAAGCAGCGATCTTAATTTAAACTGCTGTTAACTCTTAAATTTAAATGTTGAACATTGATCTTAAAATATATTCATATTTAATGCATTGATAAACCATGTACATCCTCGAAAATATTTTGCAACTTTTTTTGTAACAAGTATGATTACAAATGTGCAAAAATTTGCTAAAGATCAACTGTTCATTCATAGGAAGAAAATGTGATTCTGAATACGTGTTATGTCTTTTGTTGACAGTTACGAAGTTCCTGGAGTTTTTCTTATGGTATTCTAGCGTAGAGGAAAGCTTAATTAAACGGATTTGTGACATAAACTTTTAATACCAAAGGTTAATAAATGTCTCTGTTTTATATAAAAAATATATAACTATTATTATTTGGGTTGTCATTGATTTACCGCCGAATTATAGGTGGTCTGCAAGGAAATACATTAACTACTGTAATAAGAGGATGTCCTTAACTATCACTTTATCTTTCATCATATCCATAATATGCATGAATCTAATTTTTATCAAAATTAGAAAAGCATTCTGTTTCTGAGATAAAAATATTCCTATCAGTTTTGAAGTTCGTAATCATGATCGACAACATCTTTATCTGTAAGAATGGAAGATTGGATATTGACCTTTTTCTGTGTTTCGAAGAAGGGTTTTGTCAAAGCAAAGCAAACCCCTTTTGCTTCTGTTTAATGCACTTGATACCCTTGTTCCCTTTTAAATAAACCATTAAAATAATGACTGTAGAAGTTTGGTTTATGGTTTTAAAAAACATTTATTAATGAGGGAATTTTCAATTTCTCAGTTTTATGTATGTATGTATGTATGTACGTATGTACGTACGTACGTACGAGGGGTTATCTAAACATTATTGGACTTTCTTTGTTGCGTAAAATATATTTGAGGTATTGATTTGAAATTCTTACACGGCTTAGAAGAATGAATGATAAATAAACACAGAAAAATTGTTAGTAGCTTCTTATATTACAATAATATTTAATTTTACATAAACACATGTCGGCGACAGCGGCGCACTCAAAATGTTATTGACGTCAACGTGATAATAACGTATCATCTTGTGCTTCAACGTTACGCAGTCAATGACCGTTACTGCTTCTCAATGTCCATCACTAAATTTTTTATGCACTTTAACACTAATGATCGTGAAATTTATTCCTCTGTTTGCTTGCAGATTGTTTTCAAATGTTTTTATGGGTATCATTTCCAAATTACAACAAAATTTTATGATCGCACAATTTTCTAAATTCTGCTTGTCCATCATTTTCCAGTTGTAAACAATATTGGCGTCTGGCGTTTCTAGCGATTTCAACAAAAAATAACGGAAATGAAGTCCATAATTTTAAAGAATTACTTAAATTACATCATGTAAGCATCATGTGATGTTTAGCAGGTTTTCTACGTTAATTATTAGTTTTTTAGCAAAAAGAATACGATGACTTTACTGCGTCTTTCTAACATGCGCCGGGTGCTGTGTATGTGTTTTTTTTAAAGCAATATAAACTCATCATTCATTGTGGCAATGAACTGTTCCTTCCAAAATGTGTTAATAATATTCTACATGTACAATGTCATGAATGTATGTTAATAAAATTTCATTACAATACACGTTGACGTTCAAGAGATATTTAAAAAGTCCACAAAATTTTGGCTAGCCCCTCGTATGAATGTATGTATGTATGTATGTACGTACGTAATTACGTACGTACGTACGCAGGCATGAATGCATGTATGTATGTATGTATGAGATAATCTAGAATTACCAGGATTTGTTTAAAATTCCGATAGATTCCATTGTTTTCTCCTGCGCAAAGAGTGATGTTTATTGATATAATTTAATTGGGTACCATTCGGTACCATCTCAAACCGCATTAAAAGAACATGGAAACGCATTAGCAGCGCATCATAAAATACATAACGATTCAACAAAGCGCCTGATACAAAAATGTATTTGTCTTAAATGTGCTGGAGCTCGTTGTTCCGACCCGAAAAATGCCATGCTAATATTTCACATAATATAAAAAATTATCGCGTTAACTAGTTAGTTTTCGTCTTAACACGATTAATAACAGATGAACACTATGAAGTGCCCAGAACTACCAACACTTACCGCTTAAATACTAGTAACAGATAATTATATTATCATCTACATAAATTTTGTGTTAGTTAGTTGGCTTGGCGATTGAACAAGACAAGTATGCTGTCATGTGCGGCCTTGCATTAATTTTAATGCACTATTTCTTTACAATATTCCACCTGATGAATTGCATATATATGTTAGATATGTTTTAGTTACTAGTATTAAATTTATTATTACAATTATAATAAATTGAATTCAACCAAACCTTAGTCGACTGGTTCATTTGCTTTCTAGTTATGATAAACGAAAACTACAGCATTTTATTACATTCGTACATTCTATTTTTTTAACATCTAATTTTGTCATGCACATTTTTAGTTAATTAAATGATAAAAAGAAATGAAACACTGAAACTTGTATGCCTTCAACTTAGTAACATTAACTAAAACCCGGCACCCGATATGAGATAATTTAGGTAATTACAATGGGCGGAATAGTTATGTTGCCCTGATGGATTGTTACCCTCTGACATCACATAAGGATAAATCTTAAATAAATCGCACAAGATATTACATAATTAAGTGAAGCATCCTCGTACGTATTTTATGGACTTTAGTCCGTAAAGCCGTTGACATCCTTATGCTTATGCACAGAGCACATGTTTTACCTGTATAAATAAAGAGGTGTTTGTTTATAATATGCAAAAAAGTTGTACATAAAGAATGTTTTTACGATAACAGGCGTGTAATAATAAATATTATATACAGGAAATATTATTTTTTATTCCCTTAAAAAACGAGAAAAGGTTGGCTTTGCTACGTTTACGTTTGCTTTGTTTACGTTGGCTTTGCTATGTGTGACATCATTTTATTGTATTCATTATGTTATAGTGTCAAGTTTGTCCTTTTAATATTTGTGTTGATAAATAGTACGATTATAAATCTTGCCAAAACGAAAATAAAATAAAAAAAAATAGAATAGTATTTACGTAAAACAAGAAAGCAACCAAGATAAAACATTGAAACAATTACTCATTTGGAAACTGAAATATTTTGTTTATCAGAAACATTTTTCTATCTCTTATCACAGTAAGACAACCATTTTATTGTTCTTTCTTTTAAAACATTTCATATTTTATCACACGCGAAAACCGTAATTTAAATTCATCATTTTACTTCCTGGATAGTTTAAAGTTGTGTTATTTAAATACAATAGAATGTTTTAACGATTTCAAAAAGATATGGGTATATTTAAAATTACATTAAAGGCTATTCTTTTGTTTGGACTTATGACACTAGCCTTCACCGGTAATTAGAGATTTTAATTTCTTATATATTTTATTTAACCGGAGCCAAGATAACCTCAAGTGTTAAAATGCAATACATAAGAATACATGTATCTGTGCAAAATTGAACACGTATTTTACATTTTAAAAATATTCTTCTTTTTATTAGCAAATATATGCAATATACTTTATGGTAATTGACAATTATTAAACATATAGTTAGATTAACGAATTGACACAAAATATATCATAAAATGGAGGTGTTTTTTTTTTAATGACAGGACATAATTATGCAAGATTAATATTCCAGTTTATGTAGATCTAGACCATTACCTTGTGTGCAAAATTTAAGATCATTTGCTCTCTTTGTTTTTCCATTCATAATTATTCTTATTTAATTTTAGTGGAAAAATGGAGGTGACATTACATTAAAAATCCATTATAAAATAAACTTGTTTATTTTATAAAAAGTTATATTTGTTTTTGAATACATTCAACCATCTGAGAATTAACCATTTAGTGGATTTGATCGACCAAGGGTATTCAGTGATTTTAATGTGTTGAGTGTGCCCAAATGTTGTCATTTTCATGCATACCTTATACTGTAACATATCATTCATTAAAATGTGGTATTTAAGTTAAAAAAAAATTAATTAGAGTATATTTCCAGAATTATGTGCTATTTTCGTTCTTTCGAAGGTACTGTACAAAAAATGTATATAAAAGGAAACATGGTCCCCGTGAAAGGAGGAGGTATACAGCTGGTTTGTGAGGTGTCACAGTTTATCAATGGTGAAATTGTCAGGGTCTATAAGACAGATTCCATTCCTCCATCAGACATTACTACTTCTCCATCATTAACAACTTGTAACCCATCACTGTGTATAGGAACCATATCAAGGCATTCGTTCAGCTCTAACAGCAGTGGTGTCACAGTCACCAATCTAAATAGATCAGAAGACCAGAAATATTGGACATGTGCCATCAACAACCAGAGAAAATACTTGCAGCTTACCATATACAGTAAGTATACTATTAATTGAAAATACATACATTATTCATAATAAAAATTACGAGGGGTATTCATATATGATTGCAACTAGGCCAATATCTTGCTTTTAACAACATTTTGCATGAACTATGTAGTACTACATGTATCGCATAGATAGCTGTATAAGCTCTCAATTTATACAATACATGAGTTACTCAGTCCAGTCTTGCTTTGACAATAACTGATTAACGCTATCTACTTGTGTATAAAGGGTTAGTGGATGGCCTCCTTTCTCTGACCAAACACGATCCTTTATCATATTCTTGGTATACAGGCGACAGACATATGTAATGAAAAAATGTCGTGTTTATGGGAACAATGAACTTTCGTTTTCATCTGTCATACTGTGGTGTAAGAAGTTTAAAAGTGGCGCGGATACAGTAAAAGATGCACCTCATGCACGCGTCCGAAAACTGCAAATCCGCCAAAAATGGTTGAAAATGTAAATGATATAATTGCTACTGATGCCAGATTTACAACTTGCTATTTAAATAAAAGCGTTGGCATCTCTGTAGGAGCCGCTAATAAAATACTCAAACGTGATTTAAAAATTAG